AGATATTCCTGGTATTTGAGACAAATGATGATTAAGTATTGCAATGCAATGTGGTTAGAGCCTTTGCAAATTGAAGAAGAAAAATACCCAAAAAGGCTTATTCATGAAAACTAAAATATAAAGGCAGTTGTCAATTGCAGAGTATCCAAATTTGGCTGATTTGTTTATATACACTTTACATGACTGGATTTGGTAAATTGCTTGCTCAAAGGTTCTGTAGTTAAATTCAATAATGAAAGCATATTGAGAAAGGGAGCTTTTAATTTTTAGATTTTGGCTATATTGTCTCAACATTTCTCCCAGGTTAAGAGGTTCGGGAAGGTGGTTATTCAATGTATGAAAGATAAGTAAAAAATTAGTTAAAAATGATATAGTTAACTGGAATAAAACACAATTCCAGACTTGCTTGCACCGGAGTTTCATGATGTCAAGCTTGACTTAACTTCTGCAGCTTTATTCTGAGTTCTACAGAAAATGTTTGAATCTTCTTTAAGGTTGTCAAGCTTGAAAAATGTGAGGTTAAAAAGAGTAGAAGAATAAGAATGAAAATTTTTATGTGTCTCAAATAGGGGCTTATTCTATTTTTAGATATTAAATTGTTAGGCTTGATCCATTGATTGTTTGATGTAACCAAAATATTTGAAATCTCGTCTTTTTATTATTTATGTTTCAAGCATAAATAGATGTTTCAAGCGAAACACTGATCGAACCATTGGCCAAATAAAATATTTCAAAGGACCGAATTATTCCGATGAAAATTAGTTTAACAAATCTTGTCAAATAAGAGACATATACGAAAGAAACGATAGCAAAAGGTAAAACCTAAAATTGTAGTCCAAATTCATTGAACCTTCCAACAGTGGCATTCTATTTGCGTTTAGGAGTAAATAAGGCAGTCAAGTTACATAATCAAGGATTCCAAGGGCAAATAAATAAATAAATAAAAAGGCAAAATTACACATTTAGTATCTAATCTTTAGCGCTAAACTCCTTTTCATCTCCAACCTTTAAAATCACACTTTAATAAACCAAAGATGGAAATAACAATGGTGTAACAATGTTGCTCATTGAAAATTCACCATGTAGTGTTGTACGCGAGGATTGTAGTTTCCTGCTACAGAAAATCCATGAGATAATGTACAAATTATGTTGGGGCAAGCATTTTAACTAAAATCGAACATCCCAAACTGAAATTAGAGGTGCTAGTCCAGTTCGAAAAAATATATAGAGGAACCGCAATTGAAATCGACCGAATCTCAAACGGTTCTTGATCTTAAATAGAAACCGCGAGTACCAAATTCTGGGACCAAATTGTCCTTTTTTATAAGGTTTTTTGGTTTTTACAATTTATCTTCTCTGACCCAATGACTCGACTTAACAAGTAATAAATTTACAAGGCCTAATGAGTATTAAATTTCTAAGGTCCAAATAGTAAGTATTCTACTCAATAAAATCCATTCATTTGAATAATTAAATCATAACACAATCGTTCGTAATCATTTTGATTGAACTTTATGCGCCCACAAACTTCTTGAGGCGTTGCAGAACCACAAGAAGAATTTGACGCTATTATGCTAATGTTGGATGCTATTTGGTGACACATTTGTAGTGAATTAAGAAAATGTTGAAAACTTGAAATATATATTTTGTGATATGTTTTATTTCTTTTATTTTTACTAGATATTTGAAAAAAATAATTTCTATCGTCAACTCAATTTCTTTTTTTTAAAATATGAATAGAATCGAACTCGAATCGTTAACCTACTATTCGACTTCGATTCCAATAGTTATGCAAGTGTTTCTGTATTTCACTGAAGTTCAGAATCCTTTACATTTTGCAACATGACATAAGTTGCTTCTATTAGAAGCTAGCGAGTGTTTCCCCTTCTCTTCATTTTTTTTTTTTTTTAATTCATTTTCAATGTACCAAAAAAAAGTAGATAGAAAATGTGTTAAAGGACTAAAAAATTCTATTGAAGGTTGGGGACAAAAAGTACATTAATGTTAAATATTGGGGACTATTGTGCAATTTCCCCTAAAATTTTGTTGAAGGATAAATTTGTAAATTCAAAATCGGTAACTTTGTCATAAATAAACTACTAGAAACACGTCGTTTTTGTGGCATCAATCTCACTGCTATATTCCCCTCTCCCAGAACTAAAAGGTCAGTCCTGAATTCCCCCACCCTCTCTCTCTCTCTCT